TTAATTTTTCTGCAAAAAGATATCCAGGTTTGCCAGCTCCATTTGTAGGAGTATGTGTTTTCCACACTGTAAAGGGAACATATGCAATGTAGGAGAGGCCGAGGCTGACTTCTGCCTGCTTCAAAAAGGGAAACTCTCTCCATCAATATCACCCATAGTACCATACAAACAGCTACAAGGTGAGACATGCCACCCACTTTGCTCCTGCACCTATTTCTATCAACCATTGGGACTAAAGTTCATTGCAAATTGACTCACAGACTTTACCCAGTTGTGAGGTTCATTAGGAAAATAGGTTAGGGAGTAGGGGGGGCAAGAATACCACACAATGCAAGTCCAGCCTTAGTCCTACAGTCCCGGGCCACATTAATAAAGCACAATCCCTTAGTTAATGAAAGTCCAGGTTTAGTTCAGTAGCACCTCTGGTTTCCTCAGTTTTCCAGCAACCTTTATCTTATAGCAGTTCAGCAGCACAGACAAACCTCTGGTTTCCTCATTTGCAAGCTTTGTCTCATAACAGTCACAAGTCAGCTTTTCCTTCAGTCATCCAGGAAGCAAAACCTTTAACTGTAGCTTCCTCTTCAGGATTCCTCAAGCTGCACCATGCCACTGTATCTTCACAGTCTCTCCACAGTCTTGCTACAGTGTGGAAAGCACTCTTCTCCCTCTTTTAATTGGTTCCACAGCTGTCAATTTGCAAGCCAATGTGTCTGAAGTTAAAGTAGCTGGAAACCATTTCCCCTAGTGGGGCTAACACAATGATTAGAAAAGCCAACCATTAAAGTTCTAATATTATACATACTTCATGGATTTCATCTCTTTGTCAAAGATCAGCTTGCCATGGGTAGATGGATTTCTTTCTAGGTTCTCAATTCTTTTCTATTGGTCTATTTATCTGCTACTGTACCAATAGCAAGCTGTGTTCATTTCTATGACTGTGTAGCCGATTTTGAGATAAGGAAGTATAAGGCTCCAGACTTTGTTTTTGTTTTTCAATGGTATTTGCTTATCCAAGGTCTCTTTCTTTTCCATATAAAATTGGCGATTCATTTTTCCATATATCTGAAGAATGATGATAGAACTTGCATAGGTGTTAAAGTCTGCAGATTGTTTTTGGTAGTACTGACATTTTCACAATATTATGTATTCCTAACCAAGAAATCTGGAGAACAACCACTTGGTCAACTGACTAGAAGGGATCTATATTTGTTCTCATTCCAAAGAAAGGTGATCCCACAGAGTGTGGAAATTATCGAACAATATCATTAATATCACATGCAAGCAAGACTCTGCTGAAGATTATCCAAAAACAATTGGAACAGCACCTCAACAGAGAACTACTGGAAGTGCAGGCTGGGTTTAGATGGGGTGTGGTATTGTAGCTAATGTTAGATGGATCTTGGCTGAAAGCAAGGAGTACCAGAAGAATATCTATCTTTGTTTCATTGATTATGCAGAGGCATTTGTGTGTATCATAACAAACTCTGGCTAACTCTGAGAAGAATGGGAATTCCAGTGATCATGCTAATGCAAACCTATACTTGGACCAAGAGTCAGCCATCAAAACAGAGCAGGTAATCACTGAATGGTTCAAAATTGGGAAGGATATGCACCAGGGCTGTATCCTATCTCTAGAACTTTTCAGTCTATTTGAAGAACAGGTTATCTGAGAGACTGGGCTCTATGAAGAGAAATGTGGCATCAGGATTGGAGGAAGACTCATCAACAATATGTGTTATGCAGATGACACAACCCTGCTTGCTGAAATTTAGGAGGACAGGAAGTGCTTGCTGTGGAAGGTCAGAGACTGCAGTCTTCAGTATAGATTGAGGCTCAGTATCAAGAAAATAGGTACCAATTGGCACCATCATAATAGATGGTGAAGAGATTGAGATTGTTCAGTTTTGATTTGCTTGACACCACAGTCAACAATCTGGGCACCAGCATCCAGGAAATTAAAAGGTGTATTGCTAAGGGAAAGTCTGCTGTTAGGGACTTCTCTAAAGTACTGAAGTGCAATGGTGTCTGTCTGGAGACTAAGGTGCGCCTGATACATGCCATGGTCTTTGCAATCACTTGCTATGCATCAGAGAACTGGACAATGACTAGGAAGGATAGAAAGGGAATTGATGCCTTTGAGCTGTGGTGGTGGAGAAAAGTACTGAATATACCATGGACTGCTAAGAAAATGAACAGTTTTGTCCTGGAGAAGGTGAAGCTGGGCTGCTCCTTGGATTTAAAGATTCTGAAGCTTCATCTGATGTACTTTGTACATATTGCAAGGGGGGACCAGTCCTTGGAGAGCGATGTCATGCTTGGGAAAATGGAGGGACAGCGCAGGAGAGGAAGACCCTCGATGAGATGGATTGATCCAGTGACTGGCATAATGGGAGTAGGTGTGTCAGAGATAGTGAGATTGGCACTGAATAAGGCAGAGTTTAGGGCTATTGTACACAGGGTCGCTATGAGTCATAGGTGACTCGACGGCACATAACAGCAACAACAACAACAACAGTAGGAGCATTCCATGGACTGCCAAGAGAACCAACAGATCTGTCCTGAGATGGTGAAACCAAGATGCTCCTTGGAGGCAAGAATTTTGGACTCTGTCTCACATACTTTGGGCATTAGCCAGGAGGAACCAGTCTTTGGAGGACTTGGAAGGGTCAAGTGACAGCTCAGGAAAGGAAGACTCTAGATGAGATGGATTGACACAATAACTGGGGTAATAAAGGTAGGTGTGTCAAAGACAGTGAGATTGGCTCAGGACAGAGCAGGGTTCATAGCAATTGTGCATAAGGTCGCTATGAGTCAGAGTCCACTAGATGGCATATAACAACAACCACCATTGTTGTTGTTGTTACGTGCCATCGAGTCGCTTGCGACTCATAGCGACTCTATGTACAACAACCCTAAACTCTGCTCTGTCCTGTGCCAGTCGCACTGTCTCCGACACTCCCATCCCAATTATCCCAGTCACTGAATCAATCCACCTCATAGAGGGCCTTCCCCTCCTGAGCCGTCCCTCCACCCTCCCAAGCATAATGTCCTTCTCCAAGGACCATCTCTCTTCACAACATGTCCAAAGTATGTTAGACGGAGCTTCAGAATCCTTGCCTCCAAGGAGCCACCTGGTTTAACCCTTTCCAGGACAAATCTGTTTGTTTTCCTAGCAGTCCATGGTATTCTCAATACTCTTCTCCAGCACCACAGCTCAAAGGCATCAATTCTCCTTCTATCCTCTTTGGTCATTGTCCAACTCTCTAATGCACAACAAGTGATTGTGAAGACCATGGCCTGTATCAAATGCACCTTAGTCTCCAGAGAGACACCATTGCTCTTCAGTACTTTGGAGAGGTCCCTAACAGCAGACTCTCCCATGGCAATGCGCCTTTTAATTTCCTGGCTACTGGTGCCAAGAGTGTTGACTGTGGAGCCAAGCAAACTAAAGCTGTGTACAATCTCAATCTCTTCACCATCCATCCTGATGTTGCCAATTGGTCCAGTGGTGAGAATCTTTGTCTTCTTGACATTGATCCTCAATCCACCATAGGGGTGATATATTTCCCCATTTATATAGATCTCTTTAAGCTTTTTATAGTAGTGTTTTGTAGTTTTCTTTATATAGTTCTTTTGTGTCTCTGTTTAGATTTGTTCATAAATATTTTATCTTTTGGGTGGCTATTGTGTCTGGCATTGTTTTCTTAATTCTTTTTGTTACTTTAGAGGAAGCTGGCAGATTTTTGTATGTTGATCTTGCACCTTGCTACTTTGCTGAATCAATCAATATTGTTGCTAGTAGATAACATCAAGTCCACTAGGATTCATAGTGACCCTATTACTAACAGATCTGAGCCTTGTCCTACCCTGTATCATTGTAATGATTGCAGTCCAGCTCATTGTGGGTAGTCACTCTGTCAGTCCATCTTGTTGAGAGTCTTCCTCTCCGACATGACTCTCTACCTTTCTAATTGGTCGGTTTGTAGTTATTGTATACTATTGAGTTGGAAATGACTCATAGTTGACTCTTCATGGGTTTTCAGAGGCAGCAAATCTCATGGGACGAGACTGCCCATCTTTCTCCTGTGAAACAGCTGGTGGATTTGAACTGTGTACTTTAAGTTTGGTTGACAATACAGCTCCTTACCAGTAAGCTACCAGAACTGCCTAACTGGCCAATTAAGTCTAGTCATTTTCTTGATGAGTCTTTGGGACTTTTTATGTGTACAGGAACATCTCAGTCTGCAAATAGAGATAGTTTTACTTCTTCCTCTTGTCAGTTTGGATGAGGCCTTCCTCCATTTTTCAAGGTTCTTCTTGTCAATTGTCTCCCACCTAGTCTGAAATTTTGTTGCACACACTTATTTAAATCTGTTTTTAAACATTATTATCTTCCCTTTTCCCTGATCTACTGTACTCAGATACATACAAAATCACTTAATCGCAGAAAAACTGCTATATGCTGAATTTTTCATCCAAGTCTTCCTCACTTTACCTGCAGTCTCTAATCAGGGTAATGGAAGTGTATTGATGGCCAAGGAGGCAGTAATACATAGAGACATGGAATTTGGGGGCCTAAACATGTGTGTTTTCTTTTTATAGGTTTTTTTTTTCTTATTTATTTTTATGTGTGTGTGTGTGTGTGTGTGTGTGTGTGTGTTTGTTTTAGGACTGGGCCTTCTTCATGTAACTTTGTTGACAAATTTATTTTTACTGTAATAATCTGCCTCATAAAATTCTTTAAATGGGTAAAATGATAGAAAAGTGAATAAGTCATAGTGTAGAACCTGGCCTAAAGGAGGTTTTAAATCTACATTAAGTGGAATTTCCCCTCTGTTGTGCTCATTTAATTTTGTGGTGACATTTTGGTTAGGAAACCTATAGACAAATTGGACCACACTACAATGCTTACTTGAAATTACCTTATTCGTAATAGTCGCAGGTATAACTATTACTAGTCAGCTTCTAACTTACTGTTGTTCTGGTCCTCTTTTAAAAAGATACTCAAAGGAGGGTTACAAGAATTCAAATATCCTCCTGACCCTACAGAAGACATGGAAACAGAAAGTACTTTCCCACCTATAGAAGTCACACTTAAGATTCACGAGAATGTAATATTTTTCGAGGCTCCTATGGTTGCAAGGTGGGACCATGAAGGTACAGCAATGCTTTAATAAGCTATTGTTATCACACGATTAAGAGAAATCTAATGATACTAATCCTGAAATTGAAATTGAATGTTCAGTATGAAAACTGAATTTCTTCTAACCTTAGATTATTTATGCCAATTCTAGGGTTCACTTTTGCTTCTCTTAATAGAATTTAAGAAAGGTTGAGAAAAAAGTCTCAGAATTTTATATCTATTAATTCCTAAAGTACTTAGATGGGTCATAATCTATGAGTAATTAATTTATGGCCATGTCATTATGTTAAAAAGTAAGGAAATTCACTATAAAGCAAATAGTTGAGCAAGTAAAAAACAAATACTCAAAATAGAAGCCTGTTGTCTCTTGACATGAGCAAATAATTCATGTTGGTGCAGGTGATTAAGATTTTATTATTTTACTATTAATTAGTTATAAAATCTGAATCTTAAGGTGCAAAAGAGTATTGGACATTAAACTTGAATAAAAAGAAAACTAGCTTCTCTATATCTCTAATTTTTCTTTAATAATGAGAAATTTGTGCATAGGGTTGCTATGAGTTGCAAATGACTCAAAGGCACATAACAACAACAATGAGAAATTACTGCTTATTAACATTAATTAGCATCAACAGAAACATAAGTTAATGGTTTTAATCATTAAAAAAAGATACATAGTTTTGGGTAAGCTTGAATTAATGTATATAGCTTTAAGGATTGTATGGAGAAGCTATATAGCTTTAAAAATTATTTTATATTGATATGTATGTGAATGGATTTAAATACTTGATAATGACTTGAATAGTGAGGTTTACTAGAGTACAGAACTAAACACACTTATTATTTGGGTAGAGAATTAAGGAAAAGTAAATATTTTTATAGTTTAAACTTTTTAATGTTGTTGTTGTTGTTAAGTGCTGTCAAGTCGCAGGCGACTCATAGCAACCCTATGACCTTATGAAGGAGAGTCCTCGGCGCTTGGGTGCCTTTCATCCTCTCTCCAGGTTCATAGGGTTTCCAGAGGCAAGCTATTATGGAAGTGGATGCCATAGGTACTCAACGTTTGTTTTCTAGATTAGAACACATTAAGATATTATTTCTATTCCAGCAATTGTTTAGGTATTAAAACAGTATATTCCTAACAACTGTAACTATGAAATATACCAAAATCAACAATTATGTAATTTTTTCCTTTCATGTTGCTATAAGTAGCTTGATTTCTTATTTTATTAAATTTTATTAATTTTAATGAACATTTACTGAGATTTTGGATTTC